GCTCCGCTCGACAAAGTCGACAGCGGAGCTAAAAATAGTACCTGTATGTTTATAGGTTTTTTTCGAAAAATAATTCATCCATAAATTACTGATCAGGCAAGTCATCTAAAGCATATGCGATATATTTTATGCAAATTTGATACGTAACTGACCTTCTCATCGTATACCATTCCTGGCCTGACTTCCGGCGCTTGAAATCCTGGCGTTCCATCGCTACCCTGTATACCTTGGGGAGAGCTAATCCTAGATATGCCATAATCTGACACTTTGACATTGACAGGTGCATCAATATCAATGCTCCACACCAACACATTATCCGATTTCATATCGCAGTAAATGATATTCTTGCTATGCAGGTAGACAAACGCTGTGATCACTTGAAGTGCTATTTTGTAAGTCAGCACTCGGTCCAGTAATGTTCCATAAAAAGAACCTGGAATATTGTAATAAAGTCCTCGTTTTTGCTTCGTCATCTCATCGTCGAGAATTTTTGATAGGCTGCCCATGGGGGCTAACTCTAATGCAAAGCACATCGGCCGCAAATTTATACCAATTAATCTCACAATATTAGGATGATTGAGTTTACAGAGAAGCGAGACCTCTCCACGAAGCTCTTTAAATGCTCTAATGGCTGCCATTCCTGCAATTTCCTCTTTAATTTTGGATTGTGCTGCAATATCTGTATCACTTGTGGCACTATTGTGTGAACTCTTGCTGGAACTGGTAGAATCAGAACCACTATCAGGGGGTTCATCATAGAAGATGTCACTAAAAGTCCGACCTTGGGTGGCGTGCAATTGTTTATACGCAACATCTTGCTCTTTGTATCGGCCGACAAACACCTTAGCGGCTCCGCCAACACCTAAACAGGTATCTTTAGTTGCCTCAAAATCCAATGATTCTCGGGTCATCATTAAATTCTTGGGCAAATCACACAGCAATAGATCTGGAACAAGCATTGCTAACTGAATCGGCGTGTTCGGATGTTGTTCGCAAGTTATCTCATCGCTGTTCACGGCTACCATGGCGCACTTCTCTATGGTAAACTCGTAAGGATTCGGTTCAGCATTTTGATAAGGTAGACTTGACGGTTCTGCATTATCTTGACACAGCTGATCAATGCAGATAGGGCAAGGAATCAGACGCTGTGTTATCAGTTTTCCTTCGTTGTCTCTGTCTTCTAGACCTATAAAACAGATTCATCAGCTAAACTATAATCCACTGACTAAAGTCACTCCAACAAATGTCACTACTGTATTTGTATCACTAAATAAGTGTGTTCCTATGATCAAACTGGTCACAAAACATTCAACATATAACAAGCATCCAATCAGAGATCCCCTTACAAATATCAAACATACATACCAGGGAACCATTCTGTGATGAGGGCGTCAATTTGGTCCACAATGAAGCCCATGGCGGTGTAGTCTTTCCATTGACTGGCTACAGTGATATTAATACCTTGATGTCCACCAATATTTAGATGTCCAGCCGTTGGTAGTGTTTGAATAGCCGACTCTACAATGAAGTGACCTTTACTGTGAGTTACTACTATTCCTTCACGCCAATATATCATCTTCTTGTCTAGCAACTGGAAACCCCTCCGATGTTTCCTATAATAATAAATATTATTACCTCTTAAGTATGAGACAGTAAAAGTTATTGGTCAAAAGCTGTTACATGCTCACTCGTAAATATTGATATTGGCCTCTCCCAGCATATTTCTTGCCTATTTTTTGTGATACTGGCTCTGATGTCATAACATTCAGGTCACTTAAGATTGTTGTTGACGATAACAAGATTTGACGACAATTTTGAATGCATTTCTCTACTGATGGCTAATTTTGATTTTAACTTTTGGCTCCCACTTTCATCTCCCTTACTGTGTTTTTTTTTTAAATTAAACGATTAACAAAATATTATTGCCGCCAAAGGAAGTGTAAATGTTCACTCCAAAATATATCACCAGAATTTATTTGTTCTGAACTCTTAACCATGGACTTTGCAACATGCCTTGACTCATTCCAAGAATTCTGTCTTGATAGTTTTCCTAATGTACCAGCTTGTCCCGTCAATTCAGCAGGCATACTGGCAGCAACGGTCGTGTTCCCATCAACAAGTCTTTCAACATTGACAATAAGTCGCGTGATGAGTCGACTCCAGAAACCGCTTGGTATGTAACTCATCCTGTAGTATCTTTTCAGCGATGGCAGTACTTCAGGACTGAAACCAGGCTTCTCTTTTGGAAGCATGGATGGAATTAGCAAACTAGATCAAAAATGATAATATACAACATTAGATGAATGCTTCATGCTGTGAAATTGTCAAGTATGTGCAACACTATATACAGATTGTGACAACCCAAATAAAAACAAGCCATGCATGGCACAGTCCCCGTTAGTTATAAAATTTTGATATATAGTTTTGTTTATAGTAATATAGCTGGAATATAACCATGTCAGGAATATGATTTTTTAACATTAAAATGATTGACATTTGTATCTGATTGTCAAAAAAGTCCATATTGAGAGATATTGCTCTGGAACAGCATTCAAAATCAGCCATTTTGAATACATGTATATATATAACTTACATGATGTATAACGAATATATACAATTTGAATATAATCAATCAAAGCATTTAAGAGATATGGCTCTAGAAGCCCAATCATTAAAACAAAATGGCCGCCAGTCAACCATTTTGAATCCAATCTGAAAAATAAAATGACGTGCATCAGGAACCTGTAATGTCTAATGTATGTACCAAGTTTGAACGAAATCCATCCATCCATAAATGCCAGAAATGCTTGATATTTTATGATTTTTTAGCACAAAAATGGCCACCATTTGGCCATTTTGAATAGATGATCAAACCAATATATCTGTCTATGTATGACATGATGTATAATGATATTTAA